CAACATCACTGGGAGAACATCCCCTCTGGAGATGCACTTTACCTATAAACTAGTTCTGAGTTAGACAGAATCAGCTTTGCCACTTCCTACTTGCATTACCTCCTCAGATGGTCAGTATTCTCAGAAAGCAGCATTAATCTCTGCCTAAGGACAAAGCCATCATCCATCAAGGAGCCACCTGAGTAGCCAGGGTTTCCCACAGACTTGTCCTACCCTGTCAGCCTTTGACTCAGGGACCTCGTCTCTCACCCAGTCTGCCAAAGGCAAGATCACAGGGTCATTTTCCCTCAATGCACATGGCTCAAACCAGGGCAACTTTATGCACAAAGAGCCCGTGTCAGCTGCAAAAAGAAATTGCTTCCTGATATAACTCAAACTTGGCAAAACTGACCAAGGACCACAGCTGAAAGTCTGTGAAACCCATAGTCGCCACGGGCAGCTGTCAGCCAATGACTGAGCACAGAAGAGACACTAAGGCAGGCCACAGGACTCTGCTCTTGGGCAACTTCGGCTTGAGAACTCCCTGTGACAGTTGAGGACACTTCCATCCAACCTACACTTCCTCTCTCCTTCACTCAGGGTCCAGCTTGCACACATCTGATGGCTCCTCTAATACCACTCCTCCCCCCAATTTTCTCTCTCACAGGCATTTTCCCTAATAAACTCTAATAAACACATTTAATCCTGTCTTGGCATCTGTTTCCCAGAGGCCTCATTTCCTCAGGAGGAAGCTTTGGGCTCTTGGACACCACTACCCCTCCCCTAGACACCCAAAGCAGGAAGACCTAAATGTAGACAATTCAATGCAGTGGATGCACATTAGAAGGAAGGTGCTAGAGAGATCCAGGATGGAGAGTAACTAACTCTACCTGGGGGACTAGAGGTCAACAAAGGATAAGAAATAATGATGGTGTTTCAGGGGAGTCTTGAAGGATGAGTAGGAGGGAAAAGGGATTCCTAGTAGAATTGCATAAGGAGGTCTGGTGGTTTAGTGGACATGACATCTGGCTGCTAACCAGAAGGTCAGTGGTTCAAAGCCACCAGCCACTCTGCGGAAGGAAGATGGGGGTAATCTACTTCTATAAAGATTTACAGCCTTGGAAACTCAATGGGAGTTGTTATGAGCTGGAATTGAGTCAATGGCGGTGAGTTTTATTTGGTTGTGGTCTAGCAGAGTTGCATAAGGAGCTATGGTGGTGTAGTGGTTAAAGTATTTCACTGCTAACCAAGAGATCAGTGGTTTGAACCCACCAGCAGCTCTGTGGAAGAAAGATAAGGTGGTCTGCTTCTGTAAAGATTTACAGCTTTAAAAACCCAATGGGGTTCACTATGAGTTGGAATCAATTTCATGGTGGTGAGTTTTTTGAGTAGAGTCGTGTGGCATGCAGGGGATGACCAGAATTTGGACATGCACACCACACGGTGGTACAAGATGAAACTGGGGATTGGACAAACGCCTCAAATGTCAACTGTAGGTGGCAGGGAGTCAGTGAAAAGTTTTAAGCAACTGAGTCATCTGACTAAATTTGTGCTTTTAGAAAGGTTACATGGGGCAAGAGTGAAGGCTACAAGAGCAACCAGGAGACTTGGCAATCGTTCATTTATGTCTTCACACAGATTTAATGAAGAAGGAGCCAGAATACAACAGTTTTTTATTAATGATGATGGACTTTACAACCAAATAATCCTTTAATTTTATTATTTTATTTTCTAACATGAAAGAGCTACTCAAATTAATGCTCTCTTTTGTCACCAAGGGCCAGGGGCCTAACCAGGCTTTCCCATGTGAGACACATCCAGGGACCCCGTCTCCTCCAGCCAGGCTTTTCTTATCCTATCCACACCTTCCTTTTGCCCCACCTTTGAGTCCCATCCCCACCATGCCCCTGAGAAAATCCCCACATCGGTTCCTCTTGCCAGGGTCACCAGGCCTTTTCACACAGCAGCAGCATAACCACTCTGTGGAGATGACTTCACGCCATCATCTTCCCTGAGGATAAAAAGTCCTATCTACCTGAATCCCCAAAGACCTCTCCCTCCAGGAAAGAGGGACTCTCACTCTGGGACTCAATGATTACTCCAAAAGCCCAAGTAATGAGCCTTTGAGTTCAAACCAAAGAAGGTGTGAACCTGGAAGCAAGCAGTGAAGGGTCATCTCACGAGGAGGGGGACCTTCTATCTTCCATGAGCAGCAGGGCTCAGGTGGGGTTAGCATCAGGCTATTTCTCCACATTGGCAATTTGGAGAAATGGCTATTTCTCCACATTGGCAATTTGGAGAAATCTTCAATGTCCAAGACACTTAATAAATATGCTCCAGAGGCAAAAGGAGTAAGTTGGGAGTAGGTTAATTCATCTCTGTGGCATCCAACGTGTTGTTGTTGTTGTTATGTGCCGTCGAGTCGGACCCAACTCATAGCAACCCCTCCTTGGGTTTCTGAGGTGGTATCACTATGGAAGTAGATTGCCCAACCTTCCTTCTGAGG